ATCACACAGCATGTGAAACGTTTCTTAAGTTATAAAATGAGTCAGAATTGTAATGTGTAACTGCCTTTATCTGACGTCTCTCCGGTTCGATCCCCATTTTATAGTTATTTTTAAAATCTCAATGAAGGGTTGCTTGACAAATACTTCAAATAGCTTTAAAGTATGAATGGCATGACTCATGTTTAACTGCCAGCGTGGCTGTTCGTTACTTTAAACTACGAGCAAAAAATGTTTCCATAAAATATTTAACGTATAAAATGTTAACACATTTTAGGTGTCCATTATTATAATTAAAAATTGTAAGCTGTATAATGATTATGTTTTTAACGAGATATTAAACTTGTTACTGCGAAGTTTAAGGTAGTTTAATATGACTGTATTTACTGAGTGGCACCTGGCTCAAGATTATTACGCCTAGAGGGATCACAGCAATTGTGTCCCCACCCAGTAGCGGCCATACTTATACACCGGTTTATCTTTGGCGGTCAATATTCGTATATACTAGTTGTGATTAACTGCAGTAAGTTGTGTTATACGTGTGTGATTGGTTTTGTACATCGTTTACATAGTTGAAGTACTTAGTTTTATGAATATATGTGTGAAAAATACAGATATATGATTGGGAAGTGATCAGAAAGCTCAACAAATGATGCGGATGTAGACGCAGATGGATTTCGGTCGATTCTTTCTCCTGTAGCAGACAAAGCTCAGACACGCCCACTGGAAGTAAAATAATAATTGCCTTATCCCATTACTACATTTAAAAGATGCTGATGTATCAGTTTTGTATACTAGCTGCATATCTAAGTGCCGACTATTCGAAAGATTCATTTGACCGGCGAAATGACAGTTTAATGGTGACGGAACAGGATTCTTGTTTGCTAGGGTGGTCTCGGGACCACCCGATGAGTGACTCACAGATCTGACTGTACAGTAGGCAGGGGTCGTACGGTTAAATACGACACGACAGTTGCCTGCTTTAGTGAGGTCGACATACCTAGACGTGGCTGGTGATCGTAAATTATTCTGCTTTTATTTACCGATGTGTTTGGTTATTGATTAACTGGAGGAAAAACTGGCTTTGGTTTTTCGATCATTGAAATTTCTTAGCTGTCAGTTCAGTAAGGACTACACTTCTTACTTTGTAGAACAGCACATACAGTAAGAAAATGCGATTCTCTGGAGTTGTAGCCGTTGTTAATTAATGAAGGGTTGTTTGTGTTGTGCTATGGCAGAAAGGATATTTTCTTTTAGAAATCATTCAGTGAATTATTAATTAGGGGGAAAACGACCCCCAGGATTTTTGCAAAGTGTAGTGCAGTTTTGAGCAGAGAGGGCGAGTTAGTTAGGGTGCTTGGATAGCTGTACTAAAGTTTGAATGTACATTTACCAGGAAGCTAATTGCACTTTTATAAAAGGGTTGTTTGCTACAATTTATTGAGCTCTTCATAAGTTTAGAGTAGTTAAGAATAATTAAAGTTAGCATTTCCTTACCATGGCATTTAATTCTAACACAAAGATAGAAGATGGCATCATAAGGTGCAGTTTTGGGATTGAAATAGTTTTACAGAATTTATTATAACCATGGAGGTTTATTTGTTTGAATAGCAGTGTTTTTTTTTTTCTTCTTGCTAAATATAATAGTATTAATAGGTGTTAATTATTTTGTGCTTACACACTGTATAGTGTTGTAAAACCAAGAAAGATTAATTAAAGAATGTAAAATATTTGTATCATGTCTTGCCAGTGGCAAAGGTGTCCGTCTCTTCACAGATCTCAGTCATTGCTATTCTGTCTTTTACCATTTATTTTCTTCCATTATAGATAAATATATTTTCTAACTTCTTTAGCTTCTTCCAGTTGATCGTTAGTTTAATAATTTTCCAGTCCAAAATATTAAGTTTAATGTAGTAGACTAAGTGTTGTTCGCAGAGGAAAGTAAGATTAAATTGGGAAAGAATTCTTTGTTCAATTGTCCTAACATGGCAGTTGCTTGTGATTTAATCTTAACATAATTTTGCTGCATCTATTGCATTTCTTGCGGTCATATTATTATAATCTTTCCAGAAAGTCAGAGATCTGGAAGTTTTCTGCAGTGTTTAGATTGTTTTTAATGTGGAGAGGTTGTTTTTTGACATTCCTGGCCTCACTGATAGCCATCTGGGCAAGTTTTCCTTTTATTTGCAAATGTCATTTTCTTCTTTTTCACATTCACCAGTTTTAAGCTCTGGCAAAAATGTCTGATTGTTTGTCCACCTGCAGACTTTAGTTCGTCCACCTGCAGACTTTAGTTCGTCCACCTGCAGACTTTAGTTCGTCCACCTGCAGACTTTAGTTCGTCCACCTGCAGACTTTAGTTCGTCCACCTGCAGACTTTAGTTCGTCCACCTGCAGACTTTAGTTCGTCCACCTGCAGACTTTAGTTCGTCCACCTGCAGACTTTAGTTCGTCCACCTGCAGACTTTAGTTCGTCCACCTGCAGACTTTAGTTCGTCCACCTGCAGACTTTAGTTCGTCCACCTGCAGACTTTAGTTCGTCCACCTGCAGACTTTAGTTCGTCCACCTGCAGACTTTAGTTCGTCCACCTGCAGACTTTAGTTCGTCCACCTGCAGACTTTAGTTCGTCCACCTGCAGACTTTAGTTCGTCCACCTGCAGACTTTAGTTCGTCCACCTGCAGACTTTAGTTCGTCCACCTGCAGACTTTAGTTCGTCCACCTGCAGACTTTAGTTCGTCCACCTGCAGACTTTAGTTCGTCCACCTGCAGACTTTAGTTCGTCCACCTGCAGACTTTGGTTCGTCCACCTGCAGACTTTAGTCTTGTTCCAGAACCTGAGTATTTTACAGATCTGGTTTTTTGTGTGATTGTTGAATCCTTGCCTCTCATGCGAATGCACTCTGACTTCCAAGGTGGCCCTTAGTTAGTCGACTCCTACGACATGTTTGTTGGGGAGCCAGTGGGTCTGTACTTGCTTTCTCCACAAGGCTTTGGGAACACTTTAATTGTTGAGTGTAACTTTCTGCGAAGTGAGCTATTTCATTAATGGTTAAACTGATTGGCTGTCCTTTGACAGTTAAATGTTGGACTCTGACATTACAAGATATGATGCCTTCACCAGTATATTAGATTTTAACAAACTTATTAGCATTGCCTGTTCACTAGGACATTGGCAGATCCTAGTATTGCAGTTGCATCTTTAAACTTTTTGTCAATAACTCTTGTCTGTATTCTGTCTCAATCATTTTAGTGTTTCTATAGTGGCAGTTCAGATTTGCGGTTTGTAGTGTAGTTTTAAAGGCATCAAACACAGATTTAAAAATCTCTCTAATTGTGATCATTCTACTTAGCATTAATTTCCAGTTTGTGAAGTCTTGTTGACTGGGTGCACTTTTTCGAAGCTACTAATTAGTGTGAGCACCTGTGATAGACTGGGATATCACTTGCTTGGGATCCATAGCCACACCTTTGTGCCTTCAATCAGAAATATAAGACAGGTACACTGCCCTTAAGTTTCTTGTTTATTCTTCAGTTTGGGTAGACAAGCAAGATGAGGCCGCCAGTTAGCTGTAATATTTTCGTTTCCTTTTCACTATTGGCTAGTATACCGGATATGGGTAGTGTATAGTTTTCTCAGCCATTTCCTGTCTTGCAGTTTGTCTTGTAGAAGTAGTCCATTATCTCCTTGTCTCACTGGCTGTAGACTCCTGTGGGAAAGTTATTTTGTTGTTTGTTTATCTCTGGTCTGTGGTCTTGCATTCACATTTGTTTGACAGGCAGCATAAGATTCTATTGGACATTAAAGGAAACTCCCTAATTAGTCACCTTGTATAAGCTTGTTAGGGAGACAGGGGATCTAATTCCCCCCCCCCCCCTCCTTCAAATGGGTCTGAGGAACCTACACCTGGGTCTCCTTGTTGTGTTCATATGGGCAGTTTGGTTCACTGCAGACTTGCTAAACCTGCCGTTTTTAGAATTTTAATAGACTGACCTCACCCCATCTGGCAAACTAGAAAGAAGCCCATTAGGCTTTGACTTTGTGGCCTGTATTTCTCATTTGTAGTTAGGATTAACAAAAAATTACTTTGGGATCATTGACAGGCAGCAAATTTATAGTTTTAGCACTCAGTGAATAGCTGTGAGACCATTCAGCTGCATTGACACTCCTTGGCACACCATAAACATGGGAAGGTTACAAATCTGATTAGAAAGTTAACAAAAGACCATGAATTGCAATGATATTGACAGAATTGCCAGTGATATAGCTAGCACATACTGTACTGATCACATACTGCACCTAGGGTGGGCGTTGAAAATGGCATCTTTCCAGATGGTAGTGTTAAATTGTGATTTAGGCAGTCATGGGAACAAGAGCCCATGATAAAATAAGGTCGGGGGGAGGGGGGGGGGGGGGGTCTTCTTCTCCATAGTGCTTAGGCAGTTTATTATAGAGATATCAGGATATGCTTGTGTAGAGTGATCAAACTGTCCCTTCTTTATGTCAGAGAAAGGGAGTACCAGTATGTGTGGAGCAGAGCACACAGTAGAAGCTGGGTGCGTGTTATGGTATTCAGAATCGATTGCCAAGGCAATTGTAATCAGACGTTTTCTAAAGCCCTGAAAATTGTTATAAATATCCAAGTGGTCCTTAAAATATAGGATGTGCATGGGTACGTTTTAACAACGGTACGTCTGTGCAAGACACAAATCACCTATATAGGAAGCGTTTCCCTCCAATAACTGACATGCTGGTTGCCGGTGAATTGAAAGGTTGATTGTGGTGTTCACTCCCACAGATAACTTGAACATAAACCAGACAAGGTCAGATAGTTGTGATACTGTAGTGTGTACTTTGTGATAACAGCTGTGATATATATAATGCTTATCCTGGTTATCTGTTGTCTTCACCGTCAGGTATCAGCAATTTTTGGGAGTGGGTGATTGACAGATTTGGACACATTTTTGTTGTTGTAGGAGTCAGTGAGTTGACACTCATCAACAATGCCACGTCCGGTATGTCATTAATGTTTTGTTATTCTTTTTGAAATAATCTTATTTGTGAATTTGTGAATTAATCTACCATTATATGTAGTGTTATCAGTGTTCCCATATTTAACTTAATATTGTTGTTGTACATTGGGATAAGCCAAAGACTAAGACTGGTGCCAGTCATGCAGTTTATAAAGGAAAATAGATGAATTGGCTTAGCCTTCTGGCCTGGTACAGCTGCCGCAGGGAGAGCCGGATTAAAAAAGTATTAGTCCACAAAGCAAGATGGGAAGACCATGCAAAAGATAAATCTGTAGCAACAAGACCAGCTTATAAAGCACAATAGAATGAGCACACCGGTGATCCTTACACACACATGCACGCACGCACACACACCACACATCCCCTACCAACATGTCACTGAGGTATTCTGAAGAAGGGAAGGAGAAGAAGGGGCATCATACAAGGCTCTGTATTGTCCACAATTTTTTCACCGTACAGTGAGTATAGAAGTAATAGAATATATGCTAAGGATTTTCATCATGGTTGTAATCTTCTTCTTCTTCTTCACGTTCATCAGCTGTAGACTCTGGCGGAAAGTTCTGGTTGCTCGTCCACTACTGAACTGCAGTCCTGCTCCAGAACTTGAGTGTTACGTGTGCATCAGTTTTACAGATCTCATTCTCTTGAATACAGACTGTTGGTTCCTTGCCTCTCCGGCAGATGCACTCCGACTTCAAAGGAAGCTCCCCAATTAGTCGACTCTTACGACATGCTTTTGGGGAGGCAGTGGGTCTATTCTTGTTTTCCCCACAATGGGGCCCCGGAACCCACATGGGGGATGGTTGTAATAAAAAAAATAACTATATTCTTATTTTGATGACAGTCTTGATAGCAGTAATAAAGAAGAAATTAACTAGGATAGACTGTTTTTTTTTTTTTTAAAGAAAGTGGAATTAAATGAGTCTAGCTTGAATAATAGGAAGTCAGAGGTGAAGGTAAAAGCCCAAAGATGCAGTCCTTATAAAAACTGGAAGGAAAATTAGGTCCAAATTCTTGGTGTCTGAAATTAAAAAGTGAAGCAGGTTTGTCTTGGTGATCATGAAGTTATGTGGTGGTTTTGTTTTGTGGCTTCTGTGTAAAGGTTTATTTATCTTGTACTTGTATATGGTTTCTGTGTAAAGGTTTATTAATGTTGTACTTGTATGTGGTTTCTGTGTAAAGGTTTATTAATGTTGTACTTGTATGTGGTTTCTGTGTAAAGGTTTATTTATGTTGTACTTGTATGTGGCTTCTGTGTAAAGGTTTATTAATGTTGTACTTGTATGTGGTTTCTGTGTAAAGGTTTATTTATGTTGTACTTGTATATGGTTTCTGTGTAAAGGTTTATTTATGTTGTACTTGTATGTGGTTTCTGTGTAAAGGTTTATTTATGTTGTACTTGTATGTGGTTTCTGTGTAAAGGTTTATTTATGTTGTACTTGTATGTGGTTTCTGTGTAAAGGTTTATTAATGTTGTACTTGTATGTGGTTTCTGTGTAAAGGTTTATTAATGTTGTACTTGTATATGGTTTCTGTGTAAAGGTTTATTTATGTTGTACTTGTATATGGTTTCTGTGTAAAGGTTTATTAATGTTGTACTTGTATGTGGCTTCTGTGTAAAGGTTTATTAATGTTGTACTTGTATGTGGCTTCTGTGTAAAGGTTTATTAATGTTGTACTTGTATGTGGTTTCTGTGTAAAGGTTTATTTATGTTGTACTTGTATGTGGTTTCTGTGTAAAGGTTTATTTATGTTGTACTTGTATGTGGTTTCTGTGTAAAGATTGATGCCTTATTAATCTTTGGCTTCCTGCATAGTGCTCTTGTCTGGCCCTTTTAACTTGCTGTTCTTGTAGTCTGGTCATGGTTGCAGATTCAGTCACCTGGATTTTGCAAACATCTTCTCGTAGAGCATTCAGTATGTTCCATATCTTGTAGAGCATTCAGTGTGATCCATGGCTGGTAGAGCATTCAGGGTGGTCCGTGGCTCGTAGAGCATTCAGTGTGGTCCATGGCTGGTAGAGCATTCAGTATGGTACATGGCTCGTCCGCCCTTCACAACAGCCTTGCCTGCAAGCCTATCACTTGCTCATTTTTTCTTGCCGTGGTATGAAAATGAAACTGACCATTGTCAGCCTTGACCGCCTCAGAGACAACCAATCTTCGGACCTAACCTGTCTCTATCTTCCTAGCATACTTACTGAGTCACTGAGAAAGGCTGTGCTTCTAGCCACATTATTGTCCCAGTCTCCCCCTATAGACTGTAAAGATCTGAACACAGTGTGCAAATTCAATAGCACTTGATGGGCAGGTTCTACATGTGTGTACCCTAGAACCACACTTGCTGAATTATTTTCATATGGGTAGGTTAATAAAATTATGACATTCATCCTAGACAGTACCTGTTATGCATAACCTTTTCCATCTCTGGCAGGAGAGTTGATCTCAGCATCTGCAACACACACTAGTGTTTTTTTAATTTTTTTTATTGTTTGTTTGTAAATATCTTACTGTGTTAAGTACCTTGAGATTAGGTGTGAGTATAGCATATTTATGTTCCTTCATTTGGAAAAGCCCACAGCTTTTCATTCTTGTTCTGTTTCTCCCCCTCTGAGAAGTGAACACCACACTTTGATATAGTCCTCTGACATGGTTTTAAAGTGAGAAAATTAGGCTGTATCTATTAGAGCAGCTGGTCACCTGCTGAGAGTTTTGCATTAGAAAAACATGACACTTCATAGCTCCAGCCATGTCCACCCCCAGAGAACTCTAAAACACCTGTGCTAGCAAAGTGAAGGACAGGGTGTGAAACTAACTGTGATAACTTTCAGAGACAAATTATCTTATCTCTACAAATGGAGATTCTCTTAGTCAACAGAATTACCCTAAAGCTTTAAATTGACTGTTTACTCATGTAGCAAAGGATAGGAAATTACCATATTCATTGCTGACAAACTGGTGAAGCATCTTGTTGTGGTGCTAAGAAATCAGATAAATGTCTGCCAGCCACTGGTATCAACAGTTTTGGGGCAGATAGGATCACAGTGTATTGGGCACATCCTTGTGACAGGCTAGCAGAGAATCACCAAATAAGCATTAAAATGAGGTTTGAACAAGAGATCAACAGAATGAAACACAGGTAATAAACCACAAGTTCTCCGTTCTTCTAACTCAAGTCTGAGTTCGAAGAAGCTCAGCACAGTGCACATGCTCTTTAGCTCTGGTAAAGATCCTGAAATACTTGAGGTTTTAACTCCAAATTTGTGTTATGCGTCAAGGCCATGCAGCCACCTTATAAGCATTTAAATGAGGAACCATCAGACAGACATGGATGAGAGAGGCCAAAGGTGCTGGACTGGATCATCCATGGTATTGAAATAATGACACTGAATAGAATGAAGTGTAAGATTAAACTGAGCCTTATGGGGCATATTATGGCACACCAGGATCTTCTTATTCTTCTTCTTCGATCCTTCTGTCAGAAAACTTTTATCAGGAGGCCGGTAGCCTTTATGAAAGCTATCGTGCAATCCATATCCTCTCGTGTACCATACAGTTTTGTCTTCATTGTTGTTGGAACAGGCCAGATTGCGTCTCTGTTGTCAGCATACAGTTGACAGTGTTGGAGCACATGCTCAGCATTTTCGGGTGCCACGCTGCAGGGACACATCTCCGTATTTCCTACACCGAAAAATTTGAACATATATTGACGAAATCTGTTGTGCCCAGTCCTTAGTCTGAATATAATACACTGTCCCTCTCTAGAGAGGCGATGAAGTGCGTCTTCGGGAGAAAATCTGGTGTGGGTATCCAGCCACCTTTCTTGGATACTGGATTGTAATAATGTTTTCATCTCTTGGTGGGTTAAGTCGCTATTTGGTTGTACCATGTCACTGCCGCTTCTGGCCAATCTGTCCGCTATTTCATTTCCTTCCAAGCCACAGTGACCTGGAATCCACTGCAGTACAGATTGTTCTACTGAAGAGCCTAAGTAAATCAGCTGTTGCGCCAAGTCTACAAACTGAGTGTCTTTTGGGTTAACAATTGCTTGTAGAACTGACATAGCATCAGTCAGAAAGACCACTCTGCTATATTTGCTGTGCTGTTGTGGGTGATAGTGATAATAGTGTATACTTTCAGAAATAGGTTCATCCTGGGTTATTGGGTCAGAGGTGAGACACTAGGTCAGGGCTATTCATCTAAAATTGATCAGGAGCCAAAATGTTGAAAATAGGGGTCATCACGGGCCCGGGCCCCAGATGTAGAAAGATCAATAATTCAACACAGCTGGCTGTGATCTGTTTGCCACTAGCTAGGCCTCTGCTGGCCAAATTTGACCTGTGAGCTGACAGTTCAATAGCCCTGTCTTGTGACTTGTGTGTACATTAAAAGTACTTTCACAATTATTAGCCTTACAAGAGTGATCGCTGTCTAAATTTGCAAACCCTGTCCTTGTTTAGCTAGCATAAACACGACTAAAATCAACTCTGCATCATAAAACAAGTATCAGATTTGGAGGGATGGGGAGGTGGGAGTCTGGATTCTAAGATAAACACAATTGTGAAAGGAAAGGTTTATGGTGGGCTAATATTTCCCAGCTAGTATGGCAGTATTTGCTATGTCTTTACTGTTTATTTCATGTCCTGATGCAGAAATGATTGCTGTTTATTTCATGTCCTGATGCAGAAATGATTGCTGTTTATTTCTCCAGCATCACAATGTCCGCGTCACCACCATGGACGCAGAACTGGAGTTTGCCATCCAGGCAAGCACGACTGGCAAACAGCTGTTTGATCAGGTGGGTTACTAGCTTGACTAATTTGCAAGCTGTTTATTTTTATTATTCTGCATACATTTTATAGACAGACCAGAATGATCCACCTGTTGCAGAAGGAAGCCAGAACTGATGTATCCAAATTGGCACTAGCAGGAATGAATGTGGCCGACACCACTGGGGTTTGGTTCTCTTTATCTTCAGGGCTGCTTCTTAGTTACTCTTTAATGTTTCCTTTCCTAAATTGCTTTGGCATTCTTGGCCAAGTTGGTGGAAGATCTAAATAACCATTAACAATACCCTGTTCAGAAGTCTCAGAAACAGAAAAAAAGGATATAACAAACTTGGGGGGGGGGGGGGGGGGGTTTACAAATTTAGGATTTTTATTGCCTTTTGCTTTTACTGGATTAAAATAACATTTTATTTGGGAACAGCTGGCATTACTGCATTTTGTATTCCTGTATTAATTAGATGACTAATTCCCGGTGCAAATTATGGAGAACAAGACTGGTTAACGCAAACAGTCGTGTTGTAAGAGATAACCTAGATATTTTGTTGGATCTTAGAATGTGATACCAGTTACCCTTGGAGGAGGGGGGGGGAGCAGAGACATAAGACACCCACCTTCCCATCTGAAAGGCAAGGAATCAACAGTGCATACATGTAAGCCGTATATATACGCACACACACATACATAGTGAATATGTTTGTAAAACAAAAGATCTGGAACAAGACCTACAAAGTCTAGAAACGGATAAAAAAACAAACATTTTCTACAGCAGTATACAGCCGCTGAATTCTAAGTCAGAAGAATCTCATAAAAGCTGCAATAACACAGTGGCCAACCAGCCTGCTGGTCATGTGGGGAAATCTGTTTATGCGTCCGGATTGATTGGTTTGTTCTACACTGGCTACCTAGTTTTTTTGTTGTACGTTCTTTACAGAAAGAACTACAGCATTTGTGTGTGTGTGTGTAACCGTTTGTGATTTCACTAAGTAATTGTGGAACTATTATTTTGCCATTGCTTTCTGAGTGTCGGCTCTCGGTCATCATCATCATCAGGTGCCTTGCCGACTGGCGTGGGCGATCATGCCTCTCCATAATCTGCGATCTCCTGCAGCATGTATCAGTTCGTGTGCCGATACACCTCCATGCCATGCAACAAGGCTGTCAAGCATTTTCTCTCGTTGTCTTCCTCTATTCCTCCTTCCACAGATCTTTCCAGTGGTCACAACATGTTCTATTTTTCCTCTTCTCATAACATGGCTGAAGAATGATGACTGTCTCCTTCTGATGTCTGTGATAAGTTGTCTTCGGGCTCCCACCTCTTTCAAAACCTCTTGGTTGCTCTTTTTGGCTGTCCAAGGTATTCTAAGCATTCTTCTGTAAAACCACATCTCCGAGGCCTCCAGAAATTGTTTGGCCTGCCTACCGATTGTCCAGGATTCACAGCCATATGTTAAAACTGGATGTTTGTAGCAAGCAAGAATTCCTTTTCTAACTCTCAATGACAAGGATATATTGCACAAAATGTTTTTCATTTTATAAATTGCAGTTTTTGCCTGTCCAATTCTGTTTCTTATCTCAGTTCGGCTCTAGATACAAGTGTTAAAAGCAAAGGCTGGGATTAAATCTGGCACTGTAAAATTATGAAGCGTGTTCATTCAGTTTAAGCCACACGTTTCCTCAGCATACAATAATTTATAGTTGCCAAGAAATGTTCTGGAAAGTAAATATGGCTGACATGCTACCGACTGCATAACCCATTGAGTGCCGATTGGTCTCATAACCCATTGAGTGCTGATTGGTCTCATAACCCATTGAGTGTTGATTGGTCTCATAACCCATTGAGTGCTGATTGGTCTCATAACCCATTGAGTGCTGATTGGTCTCATAACCCATTGAGTGCTGATTGGTCTCATAACCCATTGAGTGCTGATTGGTCTCATAACCCATTGAGTGCTGATTGGTCTCATAACCCATTGAGTGCTGATTGGTCTCATAACCCATTGAGTGCTGATTGGTCTCATAACCCATTGAGTGCTGATTGGTCTCATAACCCATTGAGTGCTGATTGGTCTAGAAAACTTGTGAATAATACCATATGCTTGCTTTGCCTGATTGTGTAAAAGTTTGGTCAGTTACTGTTGAATGACTGTTTGCCGTGTGATTACCTGTCCATTTTTCTATTGCAGGTGGTGAAGACCTGTGGTCTGCGAGAGATCTGGTTCTTCGGCCTCCAGTACACAGACAGCAAAGGTTATGTCACCTGGCTCAAGCTCAACAAAAAGGTATGTGCCAGGTCATTGTTCTGTTCTGCTTTGTTGTTATCTTAGTAGAGGCCCATATTTACATTTGCTTAGCGGCTGGAATCATCATCGTGAATCAGGTCCTTTGCAGGAAATTGCTGCCATTTGTAATTCTCTGCCAGTTTTCCTGTCTCATGTATGCTTGACCCCCTAGGTGTCGTCCGTATCCTGTGTCCGACACCTTCATGGTGGTGTAACATCTTGGACCCATGCTCCCGTTGTTATTTGCAGACTCTAACATAGTGCTTTTGATAGAGCCCATCAATGAACATTACATCTTCCTCTGACACTTCGATGAGGTACAAGGTGGAGGAGAAGAAGAGGAAGAAAAGCATGCTTATTATAAATCATTGTTTTGGGGTCAGACAAATGTCAATGTTGATCATTTTTCTTTATTTGTAATATTCTAAAATATTTGTGGTATTCTAAAAAATTCTTTTGTAACAGTACGCTAGCCGCAAAGGACACCCTGAGGTTTCTCCTGTCCTTGTGGCTACTTGGTTTCAAGAGCTGCATTTGCCACACTGGGGCATGTTTTCTTACTCTACTGTAATGATGTACATTTGAGATTTTTCCTTGTTATTTTAAGACAGCAGCATTTCTGAAGCTGTCCAACTCACATTTAAAGCAAATACACGCATAGTCAGTTTGGAAAACAAAAGGTCAAGGACCTTTATTGCACCCCCTGAGGTATATTGGGAATATAGGACTAGACCTATTTTTATAGACCAGATGTGGTCAGCATCATCCCGGCCGCCTTTACTGCCCAGGTCATGCCTGGTACCCATCAAGGCTGGGTTGACCTGGCAGCCAAGATCATTTTGAGTATGCATTTTAGAATTCATTATTTGAACTAATAATTTCTTTTCAGATTTTTAATGAAAGCTACAATTTAATTAAGCCTCAGTCTTACTTGAGCAGACAAAGAACCCATTGTCAAAAGTAAAATAGCCACAAATAAATCAATTTTCTCATCGCCCATGTCTTATTAATCTGTCATTAATTTCAGGTCATGAGCCAAGACCTCAAGAAAGAGGTTCCTTTTCAGTTCAAATTCCGTGCTAAATTCTTCCCTGAAGATGTCTGTGAGGAGCTGATTCAAGAGATTACTCAGGTACAGTTAATATCCTTCTTGTCTTTTCTGTTATTTTGATAAAGTTGGTATTACTCTGTTTGGCGCATAAACCCTTTGGAGAAAAAGCCTATGATCCTATTAACCACCCCTCCCCCACCCAATCCTTCAAAAACTATTTTACACAGGCGGGTCACTAATACATTTTTAAAATATTTATCGACATTTGTAAACAGTTTTTCTTCGATTTAAATGAAAGTCAGTACTTAATAAATAGGAATAGAGCATAGAATTAATTTCGCTCCCTTAGGTCTGAGAAATATGTTTAAATGACTTGTACTTGACCTTTGTGACCTTGTTTGCTGTACAACAAAGGCAAGTAAATTGTGGGGTCACTGACCTTAAAGACCAGTTATTTCCACAATGTACCCCCTAAACCCATTTCTCTTTCCCCCCCATTATTGTTACTAAATCAAATTGGATGTCTCCCAGGCACTGCAAGCACAGACACAGCACCACTGATGTTAATGAGGCTTTTCTGGGACTGGTCACTTGTCAGGGGCCTTGGCGGCATTGATGGGGATTTATATCAGACCTGCTGGGTTTGCGGCTTCTCAGGCAAAAGGGGTCTGATTTGTGGAAAGGGTTCTTTACTTTTTGTTTTGCCTAACTCTGTCGCCCTGACAGAATGGACACTTCCAGTAGGGTTCAGTTCCCCATGAATGTCACTTTTCCTATTTGTCTAGTAACGGTTTATGAGACGCATACTTTATGCTGTTGACCGAGCTGTTGCCTACACAAATGTTTGGGAGGTCAGGATATGAACATATTCACTAAAAATAGAACTTTAGAGGTGTTTTCCTGTCAACCAGATAGCTTTTTTAAAGCTAAAAATGACCTGAAATGTTTATGTGAGCCTTGGCATGAGTCACTCCACTCAAAACATTTTTTTATGATTAGATTTGATTCAAGAACCGACATCACAGCACTCGGGGCATTCCCATAAGCGCTCCGTCCCCATCTTCAGCAGTCAGCGAAGAGTTCCGATACTAATGGTGCCAGTAGCTTTCTGATTAAACGTCCGTCTTGCCTTTCCTCTGAGCCTCGAGCTTCTGCCAGAACCTCTCGTCACCCCCAACTGCATCAATCTCACCAGACTGTGGTGATCCATCTGCTCCTCCGAATTGTACACGCTCTCCCACAAGGCACTAACCACGTCTGCCCTATCATGTATCAGTATTCCACCAAGTTGTGCAGAGCCAGCCAGTCTGTCCGCCTGTTCATTTCCCAACACACCGGCACAACCCAGTGAAAAAAATCCAGACAATACTCCTCACCCGTGTCCTCTGCACAAAGCATACCTGTTCTGATCTACCTCAGTATGCTTTCTGAATCAGTTACAATCACAATGTGTGTGTGTGTCGTGTTCTCTAGCCAGCGGAAAGCTGCAGTGACCGCCTCCACCTCCATTCTTAAGCTGGATGTTGTGTATCATATGCTAGACTCTCCTGCACCAAACATCGACCATTAACTTTTGCTAAGAAGCTCCAAGCACTTCTTTTGCCTCTTGACACTGAACCGTCTGTGTAAATGATCAAATCCTCTGAGCGAGCATTATCTTGAATTATTTGCTGAATTTCCACCTCTGTGGCACCTGCTGACCAGTCTCTGCATTCCCGGCTCAGTGTGATTATGACTTTACACAGGTCTGACTGCTCAAGTGGCACTTTGACCCACTCCTTTCCTCGCCTGATGTTCTCAAGGATGCAAACCTGTTTGATTGTGTCTTCTGCCTGAGCCATCCATGACCTCCCTCTTATCAGCCGCTGACCCTTAACTGCACCCAGAGCTTCATGAAGCGGGTGGTCTGTCTGCAGCTACCCTGAGATATGACTTCGCCTGCAGCACCTTGTGCCTACCTGCAACCGCCGGCAAACCAAGGATGTATCGCATACACACCACTGGGGTGTCTCTGGTGCAACCCAGAATGACCCGCATAGCCGCGTTCTGTATGCGCTCTAGTTTGTCCATCTGACTCTTTGAGACAGTAAGCAGTCCCAGGCCATAATCCACCACTGACAGGATCAGGTGCTGATATAGTTTGAAAAGCATTCTCTGCTCTATGTCAATTGCAGCCATAGTCTTAAGTGCACTAATTACTTTTTGGCATCTCATCACAACACTCTCCACATGGTCCTTAAATGACAGGCTCCTGTCAAATGTAATTCCCAGATACTTCAGTTTGCTCTCTCTGTTGACGTCTCTACCATCTATTATGAGACTTGGGACAAAAAATGTTTTTTAGTGCCCAGGGAATGTTTTCCATTTAATGCCTTACTCTGTGCATGTTTATTGATACCTTCTTTAAAATATCTTTATATATTTGGAGAAAAAAAAATATTCAGTACAATAAAAAATGTGATAATGACTTTAAAAAAAAAAAATGTCACCTTGTGAGGCAACATAGTTAAGGACAGTCAAATTTTGGAAGGGAGAAATCAAACAAATGATTTGTTGTTAAAGAATGAGCGGGTTTGTTGTGGATATTTGATTGAGATATCTTTGTAATCCACAGAAAATGTTCTTCCTTCAAGTGAAAGAAGCCATCCTCTCAGATGAGATCTACTGTCCTCCTGAAACTGCTGTACTGCTAGCTTCCTATGCCTGCCAGGCCAAGTATGGGGATCTTACAGATGACAATCCCAAACCTGGCGCTCTGGCCAACGACCGACTACTTCCACAAAGGTTTGTGTTTTGTTGGTTCACTTTGATTCCTGTATTGACATTTGCTACCGAGCGAGTCTGTTTCACTGAAATGTGAAAAAAAAATGTCTCTAGTTGTATTGTACGTCTGTGCAAACATTGTCTCTAGTTGTATTGTACGTCTGTGCAAACATTGTCTCTAGTTGTATTGTACGTCTGTGCAAACATTGTCTCTAGTTGTATTGTAAATCTTGCAGACAAATGTTCAGAATTGCCATGTGACCATATAAGTTTCAGATTGTGTTCTTTTTGCCTACACATCAGATTGTTCATGTTGACTTCAAGGTCACCACAATCTAAAAGTGGGTACCAGGGCCTGTGAAATGTAGGCAGTCGGTGTAATATTGACCATATCAACCATCAAGTGCTGATTAGTCTTAAATATTGGACCAGGAATTTTTACCCTAAACACAAATTGGCTTGAGAAGGTGTCATTTACTTACCTTTAGATTTGTTTTCTTGAAAACGCTTGTAAGATGTTTGGTTTCTCCATTTATTCTGGCTGTTGAACTATAGTTGATCTGTCCAAACATAGAAACATCTAGATAAATTCGAAAATGTACATATTGTGTATGAGTTTTCAGTATTTGTGAACCTAACTTGTCTTTCTGTGCTTGTTTGCAGAGTTTATGATCAACACAAATTACCAAAAGAGGAGTGGGAAGAAAAGATAAAATGCTGGCATGCAGAGCACAAAGGCATGCTCAGGTATGATTGTCTGTTGTTTAGAGACAGCGTAATGATTGACTCTTTAGTGTTTGAATAGCTTTGTTAATGGTGGCATATACACGTGTTTTGTGTTCAGTGTAACCCTTTCACCCTGTGAATGCAACAACAACACAATGGGTGGTAAAATAGGCCCATTTAAAGAAAACAATTATAACATATAGAAGAGATGAACAGTGAACATGAACAGAGTGAAACATTAAACAAAACAATTATAACATATAGAAGAGATGAACAGTGAACATGAACAGAGTGAAACATTAAACAAAACAATTATAACATATAGAAGAGATGAACAGTGAACATGAACAGAGTGAAACATTAAACAAAACAATTATAACATATAAGTGAACAAACAGAGTGAAACATTATTATAACATATTGAAGAGATGAACAGTGAACATGAACAGAGTGAAACATTAAAGAAAACGATTATAACATATAGAAGATGATCAGAACATGAACAGAGTGAACATGAACATGAACAGAGTGAACATGAAAGTGAAACATTAAACATTATAACAATAGAAGAGATGAACAGTGAACATGATTATAACAATTATAACATATAGAAGAGATGAACGGTGAACATGAACAGAGTGAAACATTAAACAAAACAATTATAACATATAGAAGAGATGATCAGTGAACATGAACAGAGTGAAACATTAAATAGAATTAATTCTGTGATGTCTTCAAAGACCAGCATGTTTCGGGTGACATCAACTTTAAAAAAGCCATTGGGGTCATAAGGAAACGCACCTCGCTCGCTTTTACCCCATTAAATGCTAAAAGTTACTGACCATTTGACTTACTTATTGACTTCCCTTCATAGTAACTAAAAATAGCATTTGATGGGGAAGAGGGAGGGAGGTGTGTTTCCTTATGACCCCATAATTAGCATTCACACCCTGAAGATATCATCAGATGGATCCTTGAAGCGGGAATCAAGGTCACCATGGGCATACACAGCGCAAAGAATGGGGAAACAAGAGGACAGCGGCACTTACCAGGCATACACAGCGCAAAGAATGGGGAAACAAGAAGACACTTCACTTACCAGGCATACACAGCGCAGAGAATGGGGAAACAAGAGGACAGCGGCACTTACCAGGCATACACAGCGCAAAGAATGGGGAAACAAGAGGACAGCGGCACTTATCAGGCATACACAGCGCAAAGAATAGGGAAACAGGAGGACAGCGGCACTTACCAGGCATACACAGCGCAAAGAATAGGGAAACAGGAGGACAGCGGCACTTACCAGGCATACACAGCGCATAGAATGGGGAAACAAGAGGACAGCGGCACTTATCAGGCATACACAGCGCTAAGAATGGGGAAACAAGAGGACAGCGGCACTTACTAGGCATACACAGCGCAAAGAATGGGAAACAAGAGTTCAGCGGCACTTACCAGGCAAACACAGCGCAGAGAATGGGGAAACAAGAGGACAGCGGCACTTATCAGGCATACACAGCGCAAAGAATGAGGAAACAAGAAGACAGCGGCACTTATCAGGCATACACAGCGCAAAGAATGGGGAAACAAGAGACAGCGGCACTTACCAGGCATACACAGCGCAAAGAATGGGGAAACAAGAGTACAGCGGCACTTACCAGGCATACACAGCGCAAAGAATGGGGAAACGAGTACAGCGGCACTTATCAGGCATACACAGCGCAAAGAATGGGGAAACAGGAGGACAGCGGCACTTATCAGGCAACCACATCAAGCATGACCATGGATATAACAGCTGGAGCACTAGCATGGACATCAAAGCAAATAGTCACACAGAAAGTAATTGTATCAGAATACATGAACATGCTTCAGAAGATAGCAACAGTTAGTATGCACTATGAATGAGTAGAAAGCATTTGAAAATGGCACCTAAACCGCCCTTGCCTGGATCTACACACCTGGCTATGCTAGTGTCAAGGGTAGTGAGCGAGCAGACCAACTGGCAAGTAGTGCACCAATGCATGTTGGAAGAAGCATGGACAGAGCAGATATCCTCAACGTTGTGCGGGCTGGGATAGTATATAATGACAAATCTCTGAGACTAACGCAATTGCATGGTATGGGAGTAAAGCATGGTGAAGCACGTCCATCCCACCTTTGAGGTGAGACATAACCAACATCTGATGGGAACAATCAGTAGAAGTGCTTTGAAGCGGCTGCTGCATCAGAGGATTGAGCACCCATGGGAATGTCAACTGTGCAGTGACGTCGATTGTGATAACATAAAGTAACATTAGAGTGGTATTACCGAGGGATTGATGAAGACAAATAACTCAAAGGGTTTCTTAAAAAAAACATTAACATGAAAAGGTACTTTATTTCTACAGTAGTTAAGTTATTTTGTCCCGGAACATTGTATAAATGGTAAGTAAAGCCATGAACAAAACACAGTTGTGTGAGCATGCAGTGCCTTGCTGCTAAAAGTGAGAATATCTCCTGCAAGTGTCTGGCAGGATAGAAAATTAGTGTCAGCCCATAGTGGCCCTTGGAGAAACTTGATGGAGGTGTCAACTACCTCAAGTTGACTACTACCTTTTTGTCTAAATGTATTTAGGTTGCCAGCTGAATGGGAAGGTAGGACAAATAAAATCATTCAGACAGTGAATAACACATTTTGTTCTTCAACTTTGACATCTGAGGTCTCTGTGGGAGAGTGATCAAGCCGCCTGGCTCCTGCTCTGAAAGTCCTGGTTTGTTTAACTGGCTGCATCGTTCAGTTTTTTTGGTGCCATTTTAACGGAGATGCCTGGAAATCGTGGCCAGTTATGCTGTCTCACCGCCATTCTGCGAACTGGGCTGAGCCATTTACTATAAATCATAGTGCCGTGCAGTAAAGAGGACCATATCAACTTTTCGATGCTCTCAGCTTTCAACTTTGACATCTGAAGGGAGAAAAAAAACACAATAAAGTGAGAATAGAATCATTCTGATATTCATTCACTAATTCGTGGTAAATGTTGAACTGTGATGTTTCAGAGAGGATGCGGCCCTAGAGTACCTGAAGATAGCACAAGACTTGGAGATGTATGGTGTCAACTATTTTGAAATTAAGAATAAAAAGGGAACAGAATTACTGTTGGGTGTGGATGCTCTGGGTCTCAATGTGTACAATAAAGATGACAAGTGAGTATTCTCTACAGTGTCTTCTGTATGTGTGTGTGTGTGCTCTCTCTCTCCTCCCACCCCCTCTTTTTCTCTCGCTCTTCCTCTCAAGCAGAGCTTTCCAAATTAGAAGTCATGGCAGCATTAGTGTGTTGGCCTCAATGTAGAGGTGAATGTATAGAGGTAATTTATGTATGTCTGTCACTTATGAGGGATTAGTTTAATGCCTGGTTTGCTAGTAGACTGAATTACTGTGTTGCAAAATTATGTTTGTCTAAAACGAGTATGTTACCAACATTGGACAGCTCTGGTGTACAGTATGAAGCTGTATAATGTGTTCTGTGTACCTATCATGTGACCACACAGCAGCAGTCAGTATCAACAGGTCGTTGTTGTTCTGTTGTTGATATCATCACTGCACTAAAATCTGCTAGCAGTTGTTAACCATAAAGACACGCAATTGGCGGCTTGACGTACCAGCTGATTCATTTAGGCTGTTCAGTAGAACAATATGGTGGATTCCAGGTCTCTGTAGCTTTGAAGGCAGTGAAAGAACATACACACTGGCCAATAGTGGAAGTGGCATGGTACAATCAAATAAGTTACTTAACCCACCAAGAGTATCCAAGAAAGGTGACTGGATACCCACCCTAAATTTTCTTGCCAGGAGTCGCTTCATCTTTTTAGAAAGGGAGACAGTTTGTCATATTCAGACTACGTACGGAAGGGCACAGCAGACTTGGTCAAGATATGTTCTGGTTTTACACTGGAGGAAACAGGGATGCTCTAACACTAAACTCTTTGCTGCTAACAGAAAAGCAGCCTGGCCTGTTCCAACCTCAGTGAACACAAAGTTGAAAGGTACACAGGTTGATATCAACTGTTCAATAGCTTTTATTGAGGCTGTGGGCATCCTGGTATACGTTTTCTGACAGAAGCATTGAAGAAGAAGAAGATTGCTTTTAAATATACTGTGCCTCTGCACCATACAGTAGGGTTTAGTGTTCATAACATTTGACAGTTCTCCTTTTCAGTGTAGTTTTTCTTTCTAGATATCAGTAATTCTGGCCTGTTGGTAATATTTTTGGTCATTCCTGTTCTGCTTTTATCTGTTATTTCATGTCTAAGAAGAAACTTGTCCTAATACCTCTTTATTAACTGTGATCTACATTGTTGGCCGCTCTTCTTCATTGTCGGTTATACATTCTTTTTTAGATATTATTATTTTTATTATCAATGCTCTGCACTTCACCTATTTACAGTAGGCATCAACTGTGACAGCAGCAACCTAGTAAATGTACCATAACACAGAGTAGAGAGAAAGAAAGAAAAAACTTGCTGCAAGGAGAGTCCAAGAATCTAGAAGGACAATGTAAAACCAAAGCTGAGGGTGTTCAGAGTGATGTAGATTAAAGATGTTGGTGGAAAGTAACTGTTATAGCAAATAAATGACTTGTAAATGGAAGATGTTTGTGGAAAGTAATTGTTCTAGCAGAGAAATGACTCGTAGACTGGTGAATATTCATTTGAGCTGAGTTCAGAAATAACATTACAGCACTTTACCATAAGCGCAGCATCCACATCTTCAAGAGCCAGCACAGACAGTTCCCATTCCCTTGGTACCAGTAACAGTCTGATTTTATGTCTTGCCTTATTGTTTCTTTGTGTGAATATGCAAAATAAGTAATGTTGAAATAAATAACTTAGTCTTTTTCTTGACATAAATTTCAGGCTGACACCAAAAATAGGATTCCCCTGGAGTGAGATTCGAAATATATCGTTTAATGACAAGAAATTTGTCATCAAGCCTATAGAAAAGAAATCTCCCGTAAGTAAAGGCCACACAATACTTTGGCTGTAACCTGTTTGAATTCCTGGAGTATCTGGTGTTGTGTGTAGAACATGCCTATGTGTTGTTGATGCTCTTAAGTTACCATTGCCACTTGTGTGTCTTAGAGATCAGTAACACTGAACCTGATTAGTTATGTCTAAGAGGACAGTAATACTGAACACTACCAGGCCTGTCTTAGAGGACAGTAATACTGAACCCTACCAGGCCTGTCTTAGAAGACAGTAATACTGAACCCTACCAGGCCTGTCTTAGAGGACAGTAATACTGAACACTACCAGGCCTGTCTTAGAGGACAGTAATACTGAACCCTACCAGGCCTGTCTTAGAGGACAGTAATACTGAACCCTACCAGGCCTGTCTTAGAGGACAGTAATACTGAACCCTACCAGGCCTGTCTTAGAGGACAGTAATACTGAACCCTACCAGGCCTGTCTAAGAGGACAGTAATACTGAACACTACCAGGCCTGTCTTAGAGGACAGTAATACTGAACACTACCAGGCCTGTCTTAGAGGACAGTAATACTGAACCCTACCAGGCCTGTCTTAGAAGACAGTAAACTGAACCCTACCAGGCGTTTCAGAGGACAGTAACACTGAACCTGATTAGGTGTGTCTTAGAGGACAGTAACACTGGACACTACCATGTGTCTTAGAGGACAGTAACACTGGACACTACCATGTGTGTTAGAGGACAGTAACACTGGACACTACCATGTGTCTTAGTGAAAAGTAACACTGGACACTACCATGTGTCTTAGAGGACAGTAACACTGGACACTACCATGTGTCTTAGAGACCAGTAACACTGGACACTACCATGTGTCTTAGAGGACGGTAACACTGGACACTACCATGTTCTTAGAGGACAGTAACACTGGACACTACCATGTGTCTTAGTGAAAAGTAACACTGGACACTACCATGTGTCTTAGAGGACAGTAACACTGGACACTACCATGTGTCTTAGAGGACAGTAACACTGGACACTACCATGTGTCTTAGAGGACAGTAACACTGGACACTACCATGTGTCTTAGAGACCAGTAACACTGGACACTACCATGTGTCTTAGAGGACAGTAACACTGGACACTACCATGTGTCTTAGAGGACAGTAACACTGGAGACTACCATGTGTCTTAGAGACCAGTAACACTGGACACTACCATGTGTCTTAGAGGACAGTAACACTGGACACTACCATGTGTCTTAGTGGAAAGTAACACTGGACACTACCATGTGTCTTAGTGGAAAGTAACACTGGACACTACCATGTGTCTTAGAGGACAGTAACACTGGACACTACCATGTGTCTTAGTGGAAAGTAACACTGGACACTACCATGTGTCTTAGAGGACAGTAACACTGGACACTACCATGTGTCTTAGTGAAAAGTAACACTGGACACTACCATGTGTCTTAGAGGACAGTAACACTGGACACTACCATGTGTCTTAGAGACCAGTAACACTGGACACTACCATGTGTCTTAGATGACAGTAACACTGGACACTACCATGTGTCTTAGAGGACAGTAACACTGGACACTACCATGTGTCTTAGTGAAAAGTAACACTGGACACTACCATGTGTCTTAGAGGACAGTAACACTGGACACTACCATGTGTCTTAGAGGACAGTAACACTGGACACTACCATGTGTCTTAGAGGACAGTAACACTGGAGACTACCATGTGTCTTAGAGACCAGTAACACTGGACACTACCATGTGTCTTAGAGGACAGTAACACTGGACACTACCATGTGTCTTAGTGGAAAGTAACACTGGACACTACCATGTGTCTTAGTGGAAAGTAACACTGGACACTACCATGTGTCTTAGAGGACAGTAACACTGGACACTACCATGTGTCTTAGTGGAAAGTAACACTGGACACTACCATGTGTCTTAGAGGACAGTAACACTGGACACTACCATGTGTCTTAGTGGAAAGTAACACTGGACACTACCATGTGTCTTAGTGGAAAGTAACACTGGACACTACCATGTGTCTTAGAGGACAGTAACACTGGGCACTACCATCTGTCTTAGAGGACAGTAACACTGGACTTTACTACATGTCTTATAGGGGACTGTTGGTAGGATTAGATTTGGATAACTTCCTCATTCTATCAAAATCTCTTTCCTCAAAAAAACCAACCAGGTATGAACAAGTCAAAGAAAGAAACTGACACAGCAAAAGCGGTAATTACAAGCAGTAATTGGCAGGTTTTTGTTGTTGGGAGATGGTGGGTTGAATTACTAATCTGTCTTATTTTTCAACCCATATCTCTAGTGTCTAATGTTACTTTCTTGCATGTTTCAGGATTTTGTATTCTATGCTCCACGCTTGAGGGTCAACAAGCGTATCCTGGCCTTGTGCATGGGTAATCATGAACTGTACATGAGAAGGAGAAAGCCTGACAGCATTGAGGTCCAACAATGAAAGCCCAAGCACGGGAGGACAAGCTTGCTAAACAACAAGAGAGGTACATCATTGGTTAATTTTATCGACAAGTCAGCTGTTCATACGTTAAAGATGACTGAGCACTTTCAGATTTTGTTGACAGTATTTCATTTTTTTTAACCACATGTCATTGTGTTGGGGACGCTTTGGTGTAGTGGCTAGACGCTTGCCTGCGGATCTGAAGCTTGTGGGTTCAAATCTGCATAATAATACATGGCCTTGACTCCCAGGTCGACCCAGCCTTAAATGAATACCATGTAAAGTCTTAGGAAGTAAAGGCAGTCGACGTGATGTTGACCACATCATCTTTCGAGGGCTGGTCGATTTATAAAAATGTGAGTCTAGACTCGTATGCACGATGTACTGCTAGTGTGTCAAGTGACTGTCACTTTGTTCATATCACTGTTATGAGAAAGAATACTTGGATGGACAAGGGCTCTGATCTGATGACAGTCTTTACTTGGACAAGACTGCAAGTTACACCTGACTGGTGTCTCCATTATGGGTGACTGATTTTAACTTCTTTGGAATTTGATCTGCATTGTTGATGTGCATTTAAAATTTAAGATTCTGTAATCTTGGGATGGTGTCGTAAGCCTTGAGGTAGCAGCCTGGAAGGGACAAGCCGATGGATCAGTCAGTGTGACCTGATCTGTAATTCTACTGTGGAATGGGGAACACTGACAGCCTCTGCGTATGTTTATGGACATGGCGCTGATGATACATCACACTAGTAGATGTCTGAGATGGTGGCATAATATGTCCACATTTATTCCGAGCTGTTTCTTAAGAATTTTCTAAAGACATCTAAGGCATAGATACAGCCTAGATGCAAATCAGAATAGTCTTTACTTACAGATTTTTTGTTAAAAGTCAGAGTGCATCTGTCTGAGAAATAGGGATCTAGATGTTTGAAACAGATGTGCATATCAAACTTAAGTTCTGGAACAAGACCAAAGTCCAGAAGTGGCCGAACAACCGAGACTTTTTACTGGAATTTATAGCTGGTGAACGCTAAGAAGAAGAATATGACATTATAGTAAACTTTGGGGTAATGTTCAGGCTGACACTGAGCCTGAAACTGCCAGTGCATGCATTCCAGGAGGAAAGCAAAAAAGTTTGTCTTTTTACCGAAGACAACCTGTGATAGTTGTGAATGTTACTCCAGACTTGACCGATGCTCTTGAGGCAAGTAGTTTAAGATCATTTAAAAAGGAAAAAAAATTTTTTTTTTCTACTTGTATTTAAAACTTTATGTGGGGGGGGGGGGGGGGGGGGGGGGTATCTTGAGCTATTTAGGGATGCATGGCTAGTGCATTCGCCAAGAACTGTGCAGGTTGATATTGGAATTTTTTCCCACTAGGACAACAACAATTTCCATCACCGTAGTGATGTGGCAAACTTGGATCTCTCATATGAAGCCAGCATCCTGACCTCTCGGGCAACCACTCGTTAGAATATATTGAAGGCCTTGAATTGGATGTGAATTTTCTTGCATTGCAGTCTGAAGTGTGAATTTAAATTTACATTATTGGTTTTCCTTTGGCTGTATCTGTTTTGTTCAAGTTTAAAACACTCTTTCCCGCTCCTTGGTTTGTTTAGAGCTCAGATGTCCCGTTTGCGCATGGAGCAGATGGAATCTGACAAAATCAGAAAGGATTTGGAAGAAAAAGTCAAAATCATGGAGGAAGAACAGAGGAAAAAACAGAAAGGTAGCTTTTCTTTATCATTATTTCCGACACTTTTAATAAGCTACGCAATTCGTGTAACTGGAGCTTGTACAGAATAGAAGGATTCAATCTTCTTTATTGTTCATCCAGTTGACCTAATGTGTTAGCCTGTTTACAGCATAGCTGGGATGTTTGTGCCTTTCAGCTGCGACAGGGGTTAACTCTAGAGGACCTGTCCAGGACTGCTGCATGCAGACTGGTCAGCCCTCAAGGGAAGGCAGGACAGAACGTAGGCATTCCCTCCCTTGTAAGATGGCTTCATACTACTCTGATACTGAGCTCACCCAAGGATTCGTCATCTCCTGCACACGACTGCTTAACCATTGTATGCACATATTAAGCCTTCCGCTTTTTAGGGTCCCCATGGCGAAGTGGTCAAGCCGTTTGCCTCACGCTCTGAAAGACGTGAGTCCGTTTCAGGGTGACGCTCTTCAAGTGAAATTTTTACGGAGATTCCTGGGAGCGTCGCCAGGGTTGCGAAGTTCGTGCTTTGTGCAGTGCTAGCCGTTCCATGGAGAGGTACCGAGTCATATGGGATAGAAACAGTACAATGAAGTTATGAAGTTGATCCTCTCGACTTACATTTTAAACTTAACAGGCTGCACCCATTAGAGATTTTTAGGAAGACTGCACTCCTGAGACTTCGAATACCTTCACAAAATAGGCAAAGTACTTCCTCGTGTTAGACTTCTCTCTTTGTTAAAGGCACTTTTTGCCTGGATGGCTTAGGCATTTTGTGCAGCTTTTATGGGGAACATGCAACCATCTCCTGTATGGTCATTTAACTCCGACAAGTGAGGCCAAGTAGCGGACATTTGAACCTTTTGTGTGATCCAGTAGGATCTTTGAGCGTAGGATACTGAACCCTTGTTGACATATAGGAGCATATCTACTCAGTGAATTGACATTTTAGTCATACATACAGTAGATTGGTCAATAGACATTTGAACCAAGGTTTCTTATGTAGTAGAACACTCAGTTGACAACACTGCATGGCCAGTATCGATATTGTCTCTGTGGGAAAAACATCACCTCTATATATATATATATATATATTATTATTTTTTTTTTAATTACTGAAAGTTCTAACAGCAGATTAAGCTTTTTTCGTGATTTTCTTTTGTTTTTTGTTTGACAACTGCCATTATCGTTGTCAGAACTGGAGGATCTACAGTTGCTGATCCAGGAGCGAGAGGCTAAAGAGTCAGAACTCTACAAACTGAAGCTTGATCTGGATGCCGAGAAAGAGCGTGCAGAGAGGCTGCAACGGGAAGTGGAGGCGTCCAAACATCTAGAGCTGTCAGAAAGGCAGAGGCTGGTAAGTGGGTTCAACCTTTACCAGTAAGCATGTCTCCAGTGTGCAGGATTGTGTCCTCTTTAATGCTTTAGTCACTGGCTTGTTTTCTCCCTGTGTGGGGTTCATGCTGTAAACTCTGCAACATTGTTCAACCACTGCTGGACCAGAATTTGTGTTTTGTGTGCACATCCATTTTACAGATCTGGCTTATTTGTTTGCAGACTGTTGGTTCCTCACCTCTCAGGCAGATGCACTTTGAAGGATGCACCCCTAATTAGTTGACTTTTACAACATGCTTGTGGGGGAAAGGGGACACGGTCATATAACAAGTGAAATAAGTGAAAAGAAATCAGAAATTGGAATGAGACTTTGTGCAGAAGCCAGTGTTGTTATCGACACCAGCATATTTATATAATTTATTGTATTTTGTATACATGCACCTTTTGTGTGATAAGGTAGGATCTTTGAGCAAAAGATTCTGAATTTTTGTTGTGTAGTAGTATATATACTCATTGAATGGACATGTGAACCGAAGTAGTCTTACAGTAGGACTCAGACATTTGAACCAAGGTTTCTCATATAGTAGGACACTCAGTGGACAGACTTTTGAACCAAGGTTTCTCATATAGTAGGGCACTCAGTCGACAGAGTTTTTCAAACCAAAGTTGTGTTTTTGTTGTTGTTGTCAACTCAAGTTATAATGTTTGTAAGACTTTATTATTTTGTTTTCTCTTAGCATGATGAACTGGCAGCAGCTGAAGCTAAACTGTCTGAAAGAATGAGTGATATTGAGCACAAGAAGAAGGAGGTTTCCGAACTGCATTCTGAGCTGGAGAGTGCCAAGATGACTGCGCAGGCTAAAGAGCATGAGCTGCACCAGGTGATGGTACAGAGCCAGCAGCGAGAACAGGAGCTGCAGACTCAGCTTCTGCACTCAGAGATGCACGAGACACACGATGAGGGAGAGGAAAACGAGGGAGATGACACCAGAGAGTATTGTATGTATCTATTTAAAGCATGTCTTTGTTTGTCTTGTCTCAGCATGCTGTGTCTGTGTTTGTCTTATGTCAGCATGCTATGTCTATATTTGTCTTATCTCAGCATGCTATGTCTATGTTTGTCTTATCTCAGCATGCTATGTCTATATTTGTCTTATCTCAGCATGCTATGTCTATGTTTGTCTTATCTCAGCATGCTGTGTCTATGTTTGTCTTATCTCAGCATGCTGTGTCTGTGTTTGTCTTATCTCAGCATGCTACGTCTATGTTTGTCTTATCTCAGCATGCTATGTCTATGTTTGTCTTATCTCAGCATGCTATGTCTATGTTTGTCTTATCTCAGCATGCTATGTCTATGTTTGTCTTATCTCAGCATGCTGTGTCTATGTTTGTCTTATCTCAGCATGCTGTGTCTATGTTTGTCTTATCTCAGCATGCTGTGTCTATGTTTGTCTTATCTCAGCATGCTGTGTCTATGTTTGTCTGATCTCAGCATGCTACGTCTATGTTTGTCTGATCTCAGCATGCTACGTCTATGTTTGTCTTATCTCAGCATGCTACGTCTATGTTTGTCTGATCTCAGCATGCTACGTCTATGTTTGTCTTATCTCAGCACGCTATGTCTATGTTTGTCTTATCTCAGCATGCTATGTCTCTTCTTTAATAATGTCAGAATTTATGGCCAACTTTTCTTGATTTTTGCTGCGGCACCCCTGGAATGTGCACCCAGTTTGAGAACCTCTGCTGTAATGTCTCTGTGTCGCAGTTCCCCCCGCTACGACAGACTTAGGCAGCAGCAACTATTGTATTAATGAGAGAGTTATTTCAGTCCATCTCAGTGTGTGCAGAAACGGGTGTACGGTAACCACTATTGTATTTGACCCAACCGCAAGTATTCGGCCGAATACTGAATAGTTATTAGGTCCACTATTTGGCTCCGACGCTAATATTCGGTACAGCCCTAGTTAAAACCACCACCAGAGAGGGCATTACATAGACTGCTGTCACTTAGACATAATGGAAACGGAGCTAGAGGCGACAATGCCAGCGATGGATAGATGGAAGTTCCAAACACAGGTAGAGGCAACGATGCCAGTGATGGATAGATGGAAGTTCCAAACAGCTAGAGGCGGCACTGCCAACGATGGATAGATGGAAGTTCCAGAGCTGGAGGTGACAATGCTGGCGATGGATAGATGGAAGTTCCAAACAGAGCTAGAGGCGACAATGCCAGTGATGGATAGATGGAAGTTCCAAACAGAGCTAGAGGCGACAATGCCAGTGATGGATAGATGGAAGTTCCAAACAGAGCTAGAGGCGACAATGCCAGCGATGGATAGATGGAGGTTCCAGGATCGTAAATACCCACATCTACTTAGCATATACCAAGGCTTTTTTAAAACCTGACATTAAAGAGCAGAACAGGATTAGATAAAAAGCACTTTCTGTTTGTACAGCATGGATTCATTTTGATTTTTCTTCTGCGTTCAGCCTTACAAGTGTTGTTTGCACATTGTGTTGGTTTACAGCAAGGCTGTGATATTTGTCTTTTGGCCCTGCACATCCGATTTCAGCAAACTCCCACTTTGTCACCTTTCATGACATTCTGGTGGGTGGGGGGTGGGACAGTGGGTCTGTCCTTTCCTTTCAAACGGGCCTGGAACCCACGCTGAGAATGGACTGAGCTGACAGTTTTTGCAATGCTGCTTCTTCTTTTCTAGACTCCTGGAATGTCCTGCAGCATCAGGGCAGAAAGAAATATGTGGAACAGGCCCTTGTGTTCTCGACTCCTGGAATGTCCTGCAGCATCAGTCAGAAAGAAATATCTGGAACAGGCCCTTGTGTTCTCAACTCCTGGAATGTCCTGCAGCATCAGGGCAGAAAGAAATATGTGGAACAGGCCCTTGTGTTCTCAACTCCTGGAATGCCTTGCAGCATCAGGGCAGAAAGAAGTATCTGGAACAGGCCCTTCTGTTCACTTTGTCTGTAGTGCTTTTTCAGTGTCTCTGATATTTCTGCAATCCAATTTTTGCGTGGTTGACCCCTGGTATTGTAACTGCTATATTTGTGTCACATTGCTGTCTGAGGAACCCTGCCTGTTGCCAATCTTATTACATGGCCAAACCATTTACTTTGCAGTGCTGAACCCTGCCTGTTGCCAATCTTATTACATGGCCAAACCATTTACTTTGCAGTGCTGATCGCTACAGATTTTAGCAGTGCTTTATGCCTTTAGCAGCTATATTCCTTTTCCCTAGGTGCTGCCTTTAATGTAGATGAGAATACATCGGCCATGCCCAGACCTGAAGAATACAGGGAGACCCAACAGAGCAAGAACAAACGCATCGGTGAACAGCTAGAGGTAATTCATGATCCTTTTCATCTTCCTGCTGTTATTGATCTATTATTTATCCTTTTTTGTTTTTTGTTGTTGTTTATCTATGTGTGGGTTGGGGGTTCTTCTTCTTCTCTTCTTTATCATTGGCTGTAAACTCTTTTAAAAAAGTCACATTTTCCGCCCACTTCTAAGTTTTGACTTTGAAGGAAATCCCTTCCCCATATGGGATCCGGGGCTCTGTTGTGGGGAAAACAAGATAAGACCCACTGCCTCTCAACAAGCATATTTTAGGAGTTGACTAATTAGGGACCACCTTCGAAGTTGGTGTGCATCTACCCGAGCTGCAAGGAACAACCATCTGCGAACAAATAAGCCAGTAAAATGGATGTACACGCAAACTCTGGCCCTGGAACTAAGCCAAAGACCAAATGGATGAACAACCAGGACCTTCCACCTAAGCTTACAGCCAGTGAGCAAAGAAGAGGGAAATCTATAATTGATCTACTTTTATGACATGCTTAGGGAGGCATTGTGTGTGTGTGTCCTTTCCCCCCCCCCAGTGGAGCCCTTGACCCCAGTGCTTAATCACCAGCTGTGTATAAACAGCTAGTGTCTTCTTCGTTCACTCTTAAAAAGTCAGTTGGCATTTTGTGGTTTACTGCTAGGCTGCACTTTGCCAATACATCCTGTTTCAGCAAAACCTTCATTAGACGCCTGTAACAACATAACTAGTCTGTTCTTTTTTTCCCTCCCAAAAGTGAGGTCCTGAACCTCACAGGGAGCTAGGATGTATGAAATATGTTTGCCCAATACACTGACTGCCTTGTGTACAGTTCAGTCAGTATTAGACTTATTAGTGCCTACTAGTGTAGTGATTCTCAACCTTCCTAATTTGGCGAGCATTTAATAGTTCCTCTTGTTGTGGCGACCCAAAACTAGACACTTATTTTTGTTGCTACTTCATAACTTCAATTAAAATGTGTTTTCTGATGGTCTTAGGCGACCTCTGTGAAAGATCCAAAAAAGAGTCGCTGCACACAGGTTGAGAACCTCTGTCTAGAACAACTAACTAGCCCTTTTAGCAGTTAAGGAGGACTTTTGAATGCTTTAGTGACCTCACCAGTTTTCTATAGTCAGTAATACTACACAGTCTGGTAACATATTAAGTGTGGCAAATTTGTGGAAACAAGCTGTCATCACCACATCCCATCTAAGATAGAAGACACATTTTCTTGTGTAATTATTTCTCTCCTCCCTAAATGTGATTGAATGTGTGTCCAGTCTGACTTGGTACCAACAAATGTCCTGGGGACTAAAGGCGGTCAGCTTGATGTTGACCCCATCACCCATCCAGTGCTGGTTGCATTGTATGCCTGATGTGCCACTGGTGTAAAAAAGGCTTCTCAGCATTTGTATGTTCTGAGGAGTGGCTGGCCAAACGGTTAGAACCTTGGACTCTCAAGCGGGAGACCCAGGTTCAAATCCTTGGCAAAATGGGGGGGGGGGGGGGTGGTGGTTAATTCCAAACTGCCCAGTGTCCGTGGCAACAGCACTAGCCATGAAGCCCCAACCCTCAAGCTCGGAGAGACCCACTCCACCAACTTGAGCCGGTTGACATGGGCAGGTCAGTAGATTAACGTACTGAGTTTCAGTTACAGCTTTTGGTTCGTCTGTGAAAGTTAACTGATGTCTTATCTTTCCCCCCAGTCCTTGAGTAAAAGTCTGGAACCTTTGAAGACGACGAAGCATCCAGAAGATATAGTACACGAGAATAACATGCTAAACAAAAGAGATAAATACAAAACTCTCCGACAGATTAGAGAAGGCAACACCAAACAGAGAGTGGATGAGTTTGAGTCTATGTAGGACCACGGAATTAGTTAACTCCAGACTTTGACTTTTTAATTTTGTGAATGTATCACTGTGTATATATGATCAAATACATCTGTGCTTGCCTTTATTCACAGCCCTATATCATACTGCTCGCCTTTTATACAAATCCTATATACCTCTTATCATCTCATATGTTTTAGAAGAAGCATTTGGCCACTGCTTGTTTTTTGTTTTCAGTTCTAAAAGAGAATTAAAGAGGTGAAGAAATATTGGTAATTCTAAGATTTGGCAAAACAGGAACATCATCTTTCTCTCTAAAGATATATTGTTTACAGTGAAAATTCTGTCTTTAAACAAAATATTTAAAAGATGTCATATCAGCATGGCCACTGTTTTTTCCCCTAGCTTGAAAGAAAGAAAATGGATCAATTGACCAAAGGATCATCGATCTTGATACTGCTGAGGTTGAAATACTGTATATATTATATTAAGTGATAACGGTTCTTCCAAGTTCCACATTCAACCTTAAGCTTATATAGCATACTTGTTAAATTTAAGCAGAAATACATCCCAGATGGTGGCAGGGAGATCTCCAAATGCTGATGCTGAAGGTAGCATACATATCTTGCATCACAAGATCATAAAACACCACACAACCAGTTGGCACTGTATGCTGGAGCAAAAACAATGCAAGTTTCTGGGTTCCCCCCTTTGCCGCCTTCCACTTTTGATATAAAAGGCATTACAAAATCATGGTGTCGGTGCTCATTTGTGAGAATTTTTCTTGATGTAAAGAACTCGGATGTAATGTGGTGTGATGGAGTTGACCCTGCATTGTTCTGGTTGAACTGGACAATATAAAACGTTGGAGTATAAAGCTGGCTTTGTTAACTTCTACCGGGAAACACAATCAGACCTCTTTGTGGCCATGTAATGGTCCTTTTGCACTGCTGCCTGCTTTTGCTGCATATGATGGTAATAAGTGTTTAATTAAGATCTAATGTTTGTTTCAGTCGAGTTACCAATAAATGGTTGGACATTACATGTTCATGGATTTATTTTTGTGTTTATGTGCATTTGTTAATGTCATTTTGATTTGCTGTCAGGAATGTTTCTGTTGACCATACACAGCGTTTTGATACTCTGTACTCTTCACATGATGAGATCATTCCTCGTAGAATACATGTACATTTCATAGAAGCATCTCTGCATAATTCCATGTTGGATGATGTGTCGACAGCTCTTTCCCAAGCTACTACTTAAATCCGGTTTTGTTATGAATAGATTAACCATTATGGTTTCTGAACATGAAAGAGGGAGCTGTTTTCCCTCCATAACTGAACATGAAAGAGGTAGCTGTTTTCCCTCCATAACTGAACATTGCCAATGGGGAAGAGGTATAAATGTGCCGGTGGCAGTTGTTGTCATTTTGCCATATCAAAATATTTCCATATGCAACGTGTAAATATAATCAGTCTTGAGGTCCGCACATCTTTTATATTAACTATTTTTGTTATTTGGGCTTACTATTACAGATTTCTGTGGGAATTTATTTTTTTTTTAAACTGTATTTATGCCTGGTATAATTTTGGCATGTCTCTGGGCTTTTGTTTTATTTAGCCTTTTTGATTTCTGTTAAGAACTGCTGTGGCTTGCCAAGTTGTAGTGTACTCTATTGATGCTATCAGTGAGTAGAAAGCATTTGGTCTAGGACAGGGAGAAAATGTCATTTCCAGCCTTGGATAAGGAACACTGATAGTGTTCCAGCCATGATAGGGGTAGATTCTTACAGAACACTGATGGTGTTCCTTCTAGCCATGATAGGGGTTGATTCTTACAGAACACTGATGGTGTTCCTTCCAGCCATGATAGGGGTTGATTCTAACAGAACACTGGTGGTGTTCCTTCTAGCCATGATAGGGGTTGATTCTAACAGAACACTGATGGTGTTCCTTCTAGCCATGATAGGGGTAGATTCTAACAGAACACTGATAGTGTTCCTTCTAGCCATGATAGGGGTTGATTCTAACAGAACACTGGTAGCGTTCCTTCCAGCCATGATAGGGGTTGATTCTAACAGAACACTGGTAGCGTTCCTTCCAGCCATGATAGGGGTTGATTCTAACAGAACACTGGTAGCGTTCCTTCCAGCCATGATAGGGGTTGATTCTAACAGAACACTGGTAGTGTTCCAGCCATGATAGGGGTTGATTCTTACAGAACACTGATGGTGTTCCAGCCATGATAGGGGTAGATTCTAACAGAACACTGATGGTGTTCCTTCTAGCCATGTTAGGGGTTGATTCTTACAGAACACTGATGGTGTTCCAGCCATGAAAGGGGTAGATTCTTACACCATCTGTTTGCAAAACAAGGTGGGTTTGCTGAGATGGGGGAATTATGGTTGGTGGAGATGAAATTGTCTACTGCTCAGTGATTGGTTGTTATGTTATTCTGGTCAGCATATTGAGAATGTCTTCCAACACAATAGATATGTCTGGTTAGTAAGGTCAAACCATTTGCCAGAAATAAATCCTTTGACCACATGGAGATGCATGTTGCTGATTTTATGGTTGACGTTTGGTAAAGGTTGAGAAGTGATATCATTGAAAGGTGTTGTGTTCTGTCATGAAAGGATTGCCCTGGACCTCATTGCACTAATTTGTACCCATACGGTTTGCTTACTCTCTGCAAAGCGACTAGTTGCCTGCCTAGTGTGCCACACAGGTCACACATTCCGTAGCTCCAGTGATGATCCTCAAGGATCTCTGGAAAAATTCCTTGGCAACTGAACAGTACCATTTAAAAACAAACCCAAGCCCTTTAGAGTACAAGGCAGACGTCTTGACCAGCTTGCCATGAAGACTCTCATATTGTTGAATAGCCATGAAATGGCATTGCCCTGTGGGACAGGGTGTTCTTATTGAGTGTAGTTTTCAGCTTGGCCGTGTTACTGTTTTTACCCAAATTCATTTGTTCTTCCAGCGCATCACTCTGATGTTTTTTTGTTTTGTTTTACCATGTATTCTTGATTTTGTGAATATATCTGGTCGGTGCGTGTGAATAGTTGGTGGTAGTTTCACATCACAGAAATCAGCAAGGTGCTTACAAGAGGCTGTTGCCTGGAAATCTAGTTTCAGAAACTTTGATAATTGCGTATACGCCATCATTTATGGTGCATTTTTCCGTGCCTTTCCATTGTCCGTTGTTGTTTTGTTATTTTATAATCAGTCTGTTAGTTGTGAGTGTTCTTACTTTGGTTTGTAAGTAGTGGTGGCGGAGAGTTTTTGTGAGTGTTGTATTGTTTCTCTTTGCTGCATGATTATGGTAATAATTATAATCTTATATACTTGATGTGTGCAGGGTTGAATATGTGTTGTGTTATATACCATGTAATCTTGTTGCAGTACTGCGTATTTTACCTTATGTAACTAGTGCTTTTTTAGTGATTATATTCTGTCAGAGTATGAGTGAGCCGTATATTATGCTGTAGCGGTCACCTTGGTTAGCTTCAGAGCCATAGCCCATTGTTCACAGAACGTGAGAATCTAGCTGTCAGTATCATCTGTGAGTTACAGATTTGAGATGCATCTATAATGTTGTGTGCAATGTAGCAAAGGAATCACCAAGTGTTAGTTCAATATTTAAGGCTCACCATTGAAAATCTGGAACATATTAAAGAAATCTCCATCTGCCAGTTAAATATTTGAGAATCACTGGATAAATTAAATGAAATGTAATATGCAAATCACCATCTGTGTGTTGAATATTTGAGAATCTCTTAATAAAGGTATTTAAAATGTAGCATGCAAATCACCTTCTGTATGTTAAATATTTGAGAATCACTAGGTAAATTTTTTTTTTTTTTAATTGAAACATGCAAATCCCCATCTGTGTGTTAAATAATTTAGATATATATATTATGTTGAAAAGCTGGACAGCTGCATCCTCTTTCATGTTGAAGTTCTGAAGACATTTGTTTTTTCTGCCTCAATGAATCTTCTATCCATTTACATTTGTTTGGTGAATGTACGTCACCCAAAATACGTACACACAAAAACGAGACCACTTAAAAAAAAAAAACAGGTGTCAACAACCGCCAGCTTAGAATTCCTATAGGAATGTGAGGATGGCATGAGATCAGCTGCTGGAGGATGTCGGCTGTTGCAGAATGTCGGTTGCTGCAGGATGTCGGCTGCTGCAGGATGTCGGCTGCTGCAGGGTGTCGGCTGCTGCAGGTTGCCAGCTGCTGCAGGATGCCGGCTGCTGCAGGATGTCGGCTGCTGCAGGGGGTCGGCTGCTGCAGGGTGTCGGCTGCTGCAGGATGCCAGCTGCTGCAGGATGCCAGCTGCTGCAGGATGCCGGCTGCTGCAGGATGCCGGCTGCTGCAGGATGCCGGCTGCTGCAGGATGCCGGCTGCTGCAGGATGCCGGCTGCTTCAGGGTGTCGGCTGCTGCAGGGTGTCGGCTGCTGCAGGGTGCCGGCTGCTGCAGGGTGCCGGCTGCTGCAGGATGCCGGCTGCTGCAGGATGTCGGCTGCTGCAGGATGCCGGCTGCTGCAGGATGCCGGCTGCTGCAGGATGCCGGCTGCTGCAGGATGCCGGCTGCTTCAGGATGTCGGCTGCTGCAGGATGTCGGCTGCTGCAGGATGCCGGCTGCTGCAGGATGTCAGCTGCTGCAGGATGCCGGCTGCTGCAGGATGCTGGCTGCTGCAGGATGTCCGCAGCAGACATGCTTCCAGAGCAAGAGATGCAGCTGGGTGAGGTTCTCTAGGTGAGACTACAGGGATTGTATAGAAACTTCAGCTAAATGTAATCAAGATTATGCTTGGACTGCAGAGTCAACAATCCTGTCAACTTAACTACATTAGTGGATCACATTATCAGAAACATAATTGTAATCTCTTGTTTAGGACCAAAGCAGTGGGTGGATTAAATCCACGTTGAAGTGAGAATTTACTGACCAGCATGAACCATGCCTGTCCCCATAGCAGCCAAGCATTGACCAATCACCGACATTGTTTCTTGTTTGTAC